TGGCTGCCAGTCAGCCATCTTTGATTGAATCAGTTAACCACTGCATGTGCATATATATGTCCCAGATAAAGTACTACCAGTAGGCACATGCAAAGAATGAACAGATTTAGTCCGCAGGGCTTTGAAATATGACTCAAGACAGACAGATGGATGGACAGACAGATAATTATAAAACCCTGTTTGAAAGTTTATTTGAACAGGGACAAATTTTCTAGCATGGGATCTGATCCCTCAATCTCCACTTGCAAGGCAAGTGTTTTAACAAATACACTATGAAGTTTCCCAATAGACAAAATCACCAAAATACAATTTTTATAAGAACCGCAAAACCTACACAGGCCAACTATACCTACAGATTAATCATATATACAAGTTTGATAGCGATCGGCTGAGAATTATTATATTTATCGCTCACACAAGAAAAGTTTACAACGATGACGCCAATGCCTGATGACAGACATTTTGCCACTACTATGACTTTCCCTTCACTTTATTACGAGCAAACCAAAACATTAAATTATAAGAGCTGACAGCATACATCAATCAATTCTAACCCTGTAATTATATCGCTGGTGAGTGCTGACCATTCATTGAAGGCCTGTAGTATAAACAAACCAAAATAAATCCTCACTACAGTATGCTGGTGCTTACGGCAGTTCTGGTGTACATTTGCACACACTTTACAATATTCTCGTAGCAACCGCATATTCATGTAACCATTTACTTACCATCTTCACCTTCCTCTCCTTCCATAACCTCTTGAACATCCTCACTACCATCGTCATCTTCGTCATCATCATCTTCTTCATCAAGAACTACCACTGATTCATCCAATCCTTCTTCATCATCACTGAGCAAAAAAGCAATTTCCAGACAATATTATAAAACTGTGTGGGGCTGAAAACCAACATTTTTCTTCCCATATTCTACATGTACATAATAATCAATAATCCCCCATTTTAGACTGTTACTAAGGATCTGGAGACGGAACAAGTGATTAACTTTAATAGCACAAAGATCGTCTTTCTGTTGCTCCTAGCAACACAATACTATACAGTAATGTAGCTTATCACACAAAAATGCGGTGATACCATAATACCATAAAAACTTTAAAATTTCAAACACATTTAAAGACTACTGTACAATACTTTATTTTAGCTGGAATTAATTTTCGCTGAATAGACTTTTTAGGCATTTTGTATAGATTTTATTTTCACTGTTTTTCGACGAGTTGAATGTAAAATATAGGTAAAATGGTATATTCACTGAATTATATTTCACTGAATCATTCCTTCAGGAAAAATAGCGAAAATTAATTCTAAGTGAAAATAAAGTATTTTACAGTAATTAGTTTTGAAAAATAGTCAGGTTTTAAGAATACAAAATTATGAGAAATAATGAAGGTCGAACAATTCAAGTAAAAATCAGTGATTTTAAGCAAAATTTATGTCAATATAGTATTTCAAAACTCAAAGTTAATGTAAGAAAACATTGACAGTTTATTGGGCAATTAGGTGGCAAAGTTATCCAAATAAAAATGTATGTATTTACATGTATGAAATTTCAAGACACAAGTCACTGGTGTGTTTCACAACACTTGTAAATGTACATACACATTTATGTGAACAACACACTATGGTAAATATGATCTCAAGACAGGCATTGCAAACAAGTCAGCGACTCAGCTGCGAATATCACTGTTTTTAACTGACCGTTTTGATGTTTGAAACAGAATGGCGGTGACAGTAAAACTTCAAAGATGAAACATTTTGGAGAACCAAAAAAAGAACAAATCTGTGGCCAGTTAAAATTTTAGAAGACAATAATCAAATTAACATTTTTAGAGTGTCAAAATTTTGACATTTTTTGGTACATTACTTCCACTAGTTATCTTGCTCTTTTAGGAAGTCGCAAATTCTGGGAAATTCCTGGGTACAGGAAACAGAGTAGTTTGAACCATTCAAGATATTTACATAATTCAAAATACAGTCGTGAAATATTCAGAGATATTCAATACTGTTTGGTTACCTATCATCATCTTCATCATCATCTTCTTCATCTCGTCATCATCTTCTAAACCATTTTCCACTTCAACATCTGGTACAAGATAATACTGGAGAGGATTGGGCCACATATCATCTTTGATAACCTGAAAGAAAAGTATTACAAAAATAAACTTCAATACAATAGTTTTTGAGTTCCCAGGACGTGTTTCAATGTTATTATTTATATTTATATGAATAAAAAACGCGTTTTTCATAGTTTCGCAAAATTTCAAAGGTAACAACATGCTAGGTACAACTTGCTATTGTAATTAATGTTCTTGATATGCAGCTTGCATATTCTTGCTGACTTGAAGTGAATCTATGTAGATTAACCCTCTCATTGTGACATGGGATCCGAGCAACCAGAAAACTCAGAACTCTTCTATAACCATGGGGTAAACGTAAAACATGCAGAAAAATATCATAACCACTTGCACACAGAATAAGTGAGGTCAATCCAGTTAAATATTACTTTTATTCCAGTTATAAGCTGCACTTTGCAATATGCGAACAAGAGTAAAATGGTCAAAAATGTTTGTTTTCGAGATACCATATTTGGTCTAATAGAAGCACAAATAAACAACAACAACAACTAGAAAGTGTATACTGAATCATTAAATTTTGGTTCTATACACACCTGAATGTGCGTACTACTAAAAAATTAGCATTGTCTTTAGACAAGCGAATAGATTTTACCTCAGCAATATCATCTGCTGATGGCTCTGTATGGTCATTGAACCAGGAGAAGAAACTTCGGTTCTCCCGGATCCTCTTCCTTCCTTTGACATCAATTGAACTCTTGGCCGTCAGATCCATCCCGCTCTTCCATACAAACGTTGATGATTGACTCGCTGGTTCCCCTATATAGCAGACAACATAAGAACATAACAATTTTTAGAAAGCCTAGACTGTCTATTGGGTTTCATGGAAACAATTACAAATGAGTACATGGCATTGCTCAATCTTTAGATGAACAGATATATCAAGGCAGAAAAAACAACCCATGCATGACACAGTCCCTGTTAGTTATCGAATTTAAAAAATATAGTTTTGTTTATAGTAATATAGTTGAAATATTAACAAGTCAGGAATATGATTATGATAACATTAAAATGATTGACATCTTGTATCTGATCGTCAAACGAGTAGTTGTCCATATTGAGAAATATTTCTCTGGAACAGCATTAATTAAAACAAAATGGCCACCAGTCAGCCATTTTGAATACATCTATATATCTATAACATGATGTAAAATGAATATATACAATTTGAACATAATCAATCATTTTACAGATATGGCACTAGAACTGCATTCATAAAAACAAAATGGCCACCAGTCGGCCATCTGAAAAATAAAATGATGTGCATCAAGGTTCTATAATGTCCACAGTATGTACCAAGTTCAAACAAAACTATCCATAAATGATTTTGATGATTTTTTAGCAAAGAAATGGCCACCATTCGGCCATCTTGAATCAGATCGTGAAACAAATTGATATGCATATGCATAATATTATGTATGATGTATGTGTGGGAAGTTTGATTGTGATTGGTCCAGGAATGTCTAAGATACAGGTCCAGACACACCTCTATTTAGATTTATTCTTTGAAAAGATACAAACTAACCTGAACTCGCCAAATGAAACTCCTTCTGTAAGACATCATTCTCAAAAAAGGGGTTTTTGTCAAAATTAAATTTTATCCTGTAGCCTGACTTGATGTCTTCGAACTCTTCAACCTCTAGTTTAGTGAGATAGTGAAGGCACTCTTCGTCTTCCTCTGTTAGAATCGCTGAAATCTGTGGATGGTTCACAAACTGTGCACGATGTAAGGAAATGTATTGTATACAAAAATGATGTCAAGATATGAAATAATGTTCCTCCTCAAGATGCAAGTATACAAGGCAAAAAAAGACTGTGCCAAACATAGTTGGGTAATATAACATGAATTTCATTTTTCAAAATTTCAATAAGATGTTTTTCAAAATTGCAATATGTTGTGTCAATTGCAAATTGACTTAGAGGCACACTGTTTCATATGAAAAAGTGCACCAATATAATTTTCAAGGTCAGTACTTATATAAAAATGATGGTATCCATATTTAGGGGCCTACCGGTAAATGAAACAAAATAAAGATGCTCAAGAAATAAGACAGAGGTGTGAATGGCTATATACATACCGGGTACTGTGAGTTTTGAATCAGAAACTTAAAATAGTTACATACATGTATTTTTTTGGCTCAAGATATAAGAACAAAAATGGGTAATGTCTGATTTGTCAGTAAATACCACTTGTTTATATAAGCATTTTTTTCACATAAATATTATAGAACCCATAATGTTTATGGGGTACAGAATTTATTTTCACAAATGATGTAGTGTATCTTGTGGATAAACCACATCCCAAGTGAAAATACCTTCCACATCCCGCAAACATCATGAAGAGACCATATGAGTTTGTTATTAGTAAATAATTTCCTCGATGCGAATCATCAAAAAAAGTTATATTTATGTCATTAACAATTTTTGAATAACAGCCTAATGAATTACGGTCAGTGATTGGTTAACCGAGCATTCAATTCTATTTATGTGCACTGAAAATGACGACTGAGAAATGCAAAAAACAGAGTTTTTTAAAATACATACAACAAAATAATCCATGGTGATTTTATTGTAACAAACATTGAAAATAAAGTTCTGACTCTTTTGCATCTTATTTGCATATTAAATAATATAATGTTCTAATTTAATCGGTCAGTCAAGCACATCATCCCCTGCAAACTGATAGATTCACAGTTTTAAAACCAAACAGGGTTCATCTCTGGTGTTCTATAATATTCATTTTGAAGTATTTTAAATGGAAAGGTGAATAGTATACTATGCATTTCATGAAGGCATTACATTTTATTGAATAAGTATTTAAAACATTCAAATTATGGTTGAAAACCACTTGACTTAAACATCACGTATTTAGAATTCATGACCCTAAATTGACTAAAGACTGAAGAAAATTTAACCTGCAGAGCATTATGGGTAATGGGCATCACCAAATGACTTTTATATCCAAAGAAAGTTTCTTCTTTAAATTTGATTGAAGAGTGTGGATCTTCTTGGGTAAACATTTATAATTTCATAAATGTTCATAAAATAAATGCCTTTATGAAATGCAAAAAATTTTGTGCAGTACTACATGAGCACTGAATAAAGATGTGGAATTATGTTCGTTTCGGTAGTAAAATACCAATTTTTTTTTCAGGAGTAAAAACTGCAGTACATATGCAATTAATTCAGTTACTTTACAACACTTGTATACACTGCTGCAATTACTCAAATTTTGTAAGATACATGTATACCCATGATTTTATAATACAAATTTCACTAGGGTTCTTTACACAGACAGTCATAATAACTTTTAAGAAATTTAGTCTACTTAGGAATGCCATGAATTTAAATAACACCAGGGAACTGTCTAAAATCATGATTTTAACTTTTAAAGTATTTGCCAGTAATACAGTGAGGTGGCAGTTAAAATGATCAGCATACTACAATATGTAAATGGAATGATACGAGTAGTAAAGAGCTGCAGACAGCATACGAGATAAGGCATTTCAACAGTTACTATCAATGGTGGTCAGTATAGCTGATTAATTATTCATGAGCCAGCTGATGAGCTCCCAGTCAGCTACACTGTGGTACTACATGATGATCAAACAACAACCGTTGATTAAGCGGAGAAAGTAGTTTACCAACACATCTAAAAATGTTCTTTATATATTTTCACTAAGCGGTGGCCCACAAAACATGAGAATATCTTTGGTTTACGGCAGCTGTGAATAATAAACCCACAAATCGTAATGTTTAGAAAATACAACGCGCACGTGTACACTACAAACACAAAGTATAGTGCAGTGGCTGAAGCAAGCGCATTACGAAAAACACTGGGAAAAAGGATACAGCAGTCACCCAAAAGTTGGGAATTTTCCTGATCAGGTCATTTCTTCTGTCAAAGTGCGGTCTTCTCATGCGATTGTACTTCTGTTCCACTTTCAGGATTTCTTCGCTAGCCTGTTCATTCAGCGCGTCGATTTCATTTTGACAAGCGTCGATATCCTCCAGTACCCTCTGTGTCTCTACGTCAAAATCTTTACTATCGTCCCCCTCCGAGCTCAGTAAAATCACGTCTGACCTCAGCTTCTTTGCAGGTGCCGGTCCACCTTCACTCATTTTGCAGCGATTGTTGCAGTTTCACTCGGTGCAATAAACAAGGTCTGCAGCTAGTACACAATCGACTAACGTTGACAGGGCGGAAGTAGTATTATTGTATACTTCCTCAACCTGATTGCCCTGAGCATGTGCAGAAACATAATTCGCGGCTTCTCAAGTGCTCGACATAAGAGATATTTTGATTGGTCAACGATAACCTATAGTTGATAGTCAGCTCCAAGAACTTTAACCAATCATATGTCTTGTTGGGAACCGATAATTTTTATTTTATAAAGACAGAAAAGAGACCGTTTCACGGATTAATTTAGGCCGGTGGATAAAAAATTGACGATGGAGGGTTATTTCTTGTTTTATAGATGTCATTATAACTGCAAGTAGAAATGTGTAATCGATTGCATAGTACGAAGCAAAAGGTATCCTCGTTCCCAACTGTCATGGTTTATGCATACACACTTTTGTCGGAAAACACCAGAAAAAGTACAAACTCTTTTCCGTTTGTAAAAATACTAGTATTATCCGAAACAAAACAATACATGAACAATTTATTCTGTAAAATATTTCGAAACGGAGCCAAGTAATACCACGTATGCACGAAGGGTGTATCATCCGGGGTATTCAAAGTAATCAACAAAATTAAAATGGCGACGGAGATGGAGCCAAGCGACGAGCATGTCGTATCTTTTGAAAACATTGACGACTCACAACAACAGTTATTTGCAGAAACGAAGCCGAGTTTAGAGTTCTTAAATGATACTAAATCCATAAGCCCGGATACCGGCAAAAGGAAACGTATACAACACAATTATAAGCGGCTCTCAAGTTCGGGATACCTCGACGAAGTGTACGCTGACGGACGACGGCGATTTTCGAGTACAGCGAGTGAATCAGAGTTGTCACCGTCGCCTCCGAAACACAAAGCGAGACGAAAAATGTTGAATAATTCTGATCAGCTGCATTTTGACGGAGGTATGTACCTTCTATATGCAATTAAATAAACAAATGTATATCAATTTGAACTTAACCTGCTGTATCCCTCCTTAGCCGTGTATTTTTCACTCACTCGGTCAGAAAACCTTTTAACGCCTTTTGTTGTTACCGAGTCCACTAATATTCATGCACATGCACACGTAGGCCAAGGGTAATAAAATTATTTCGCACTCATATTGATTGTCGTTTTATAAAATTAATCGACACCTTCTTACAAAGCTTGTTATGATTCGGTATCCGCAGTACTCTTACCATAAAATGGTCATTGTACAGTATCTAAACACAACTACTAGTATGTTGTGTACAAAATATTCTTTCAAGTGCAGTATTGAAATTTTGAGTATATGTATACAATGAATTTTGATAAACTCATTAACTGTATTCTTCATTTAAACGTTTTGATAAGTTTATATTCACTCTAAAGTT